ATGTGCCTGCGTATGTATTGTTTGATTCGGGGTCGAGCCACACTTTTATCTCTTCTACGTTTGTTCGTCAGGCAACCCTCGAATTAGAGCCGTTAGGGTTTTTGTTGTCGGTTTCTACACCATCAGAGTCGATTTTGATCGCTAGTCAAAAGGTGAGGGCAGGTGAGTTGTCTTTTGATAATCAGACTCTAAGGGCAAGACTGATCCAGCTGGACATGCAAGACTTTGACGTTATTTTGGGCATGGATTGGCTAGCTACCAACCAAGCCAACATTAATTGCTCGAGAAGAGAAGTCTCCTTCCAACTACCTTCGGGTCGGAACTTTACATTTAAAGGGGTTACGGGTAGAGTCCCAAGGACAGTATCAGCATTGAAGGCAAGGCGCCTGTTGCAGAATGGAGCTTGGGGATATTTGGCCAACGTCGTCGACATTAGTAAGACTCCACCTAGTATCGACTCCGTTCACGTGGTCAGGGAGTTCCCAGATGTGTTCCCCAATGACCTTCCGGGGCTACCCCCTGTTCGTGAACTGGATTTTTGTATCGACTTACCACCCGGGACAGCTCCCATTTCAAAGGCACCGTACCGCATGGCTCCAGCGGAACTTAAGGAGCTTAAGGCTCAGCTGGAAGAGCTCTTAGACAAAGGCTTCATTCGCCTGAGCGTGTTTCCTTGGGGTGCTCCCGTGCTGTTTGTGAAAAAGAAGGATGGATCTATGCGACTTTGTGTTGACTACCGGGATCTGAACAAGGTGACAATAAAAAATAGGTTCCCCCTTCCTCGCATCGATGACCTCTTTGACCAACTAAAAGGAGCAAGGGTGTTCTCGAAGATAGACCTACGATCGGGGTACCACCAGTTGAGGATTAAAGACGCCGACATACCTAGGACGGCCTTCAGAACCAGGTATGGGCATTATGAGTTTACCGTTATGTCTTTCGGACTCACTAATGCCCCTGCGACATTTATGGATCTCATGAATCGAGTTTTTAAGGAATTTTTGGATCTGTTCGTGATCGTGTTTATCGACGATATTTTAATTTACTCCATTACGGAAGAACAGCACGAAGGGCACCTGCGGCAGGTTCTTACCGTTTTGAGGAAGAACAGCCTGTACGCGAAGTTCTCGAAGTGTGAGTTTTGGCTGGATAAGGTGGCTTTCCTTGGCCACATAATCACCAGGGAAGGTATTGCTGTGGACCCGGCCAAGGTAGAGGCGGTCAGTGGTTGGCCAAGGCCTCGCACAGTGACCAAAATCCGCAGTTTTCTCGGCCTAGCCGGCTATTATAGAAGGTTCGTCCAGGATTGAGAGCTTCGCCCTTCTCTTTCAAGCAAGGGGGAGTGTCACGTGCTCTTCTTCCAAAAACACAATTCTCTTAACTAAAATAAAGTAAGGCAAAGGAAAGATAAGCAAAGTGCTGGATTTTTATATATTTGAATAGGTAGAAAATAACTAAGTAACAACGGAAACAAAACAAAGCTCAATAAAGGAATGTAAAGTGCTCGGGATTTAAAAACTAAAAGCAACTCAAAAGTACTTAGAAAGCAACAAAGAAACACTAAAAATGATCAAGAGAAGGAAGCAAGGCTTGATGAATTTGGTGGAGAAGCTGTGCAGAATTTATAGCTGTGCAGAATTGGTTAGGTAGGTCCTAAAACGATGGTGAATCACCCATTTCCAACTTTTTTGACTGACTAAATCGTGCTCAAACTGATAGTGGAACACTTCTTCTACACGTGTGCATCGGTTGGAACCACCAAAATGCATTGGAAGACGCGTTTCATTAAGGGCAAAGTTGGAAGAAAAACAGTTTTCTGCAGTCTTCCCAGGCGCCTGACGCCTCCCATGATGTTTTTTCGTCTTTTTGCTTCTTTTGATTAATTTGCACTCCCAAATGGTCCTAAAATGTCATAAATACAATATAAGCCAACCACAAACCATCATATATGAATTTTGCATGAATTGGAACTCAAACGACCAAGAAAAAGTCCGAAACAAAGTTAAAACATAGTAAAAACAACATCTAAAACCTTCTTTTTACGCATGTAAACAAGCGTAATCAGTAGCTTCCAAGGCAGCAGAGGAGTTCTCCTTCTCCCTTGCTACCAAGACTTCTCTTCCATCCAGCTCGACCTTCATCATAACTGCCAAGTGAATAGAAGCAATGAACGCTTGTAAATAAAAAAAAATCACACAAGGGTTAGACCGAGCTATAAGTGGTAAGAGTAAAAGTAGTTAAGAAAGCAGGTCTTACCTCAGCGGCGTGGTCAATAGTCCTTTGCAGTATGGACCCAGGATCGCTTACAAACTTGGACGCCCTACGAAGGCAGCGGTCTAAGCAAGATGCCGAGATTCGGGACACTTGGTCCTTCACCCCAAAACTCGACGGTTCAACTCAGAACCGCATCATCACGTCGGACGTCCCCCCCATCCTAGCTTCGGGGTTGTCCACCAGGTCAGCATGGCTCATGGGCAAAAGCCCACGAGCCCCAACCTCCAAGGAGGAGGTGGTTTTCTTCTTCTTCCTTCTCCTCTTTACAGGAGAGTCTTCTCTCACCTCGCACAGAGGTGGCACGTCTAGCGCCTCAGACTCATTCCTTGGACGCTTTTCTCTAGAGTGCTCCCCAGCAGAGTCCAACTCGATCATCGGAGTTGGGACTTCAGCAGACGGCCCAGCTTTGTCTTGAGCCGTAGGTTGAGCAACAACAGGAGTTGTTGGCTCCATGCTCTGAGCAGTCTTAAGGGCGTGAGCACGGCCCTTGGACTTACGTTTCATTCTGCCTGTGAATCCGCACACCATCGCTACAAAATAAATAAGCAAAAGGTTAGAGACTAAAATTGAAGTATAAAATTAAAATCAAGGTCGAGCTCGACTTACCAAGCTCAGAATTTGGCCTTGAAGCTTCGACTGGATGAACTAAGGGGTTGTAGTCTAGCAACCCGGATTCCAGTAACAGCCAGTCAGTCACCAAGGTTCCGACCTTCCTGCCACTTGGGAAGCGATCCTTGTAATACTTGAGGGTATCCCAAGATGCTTAAGTTAGCTCGGGAATTGGTTTGATTGACACTACACAAGACATATAAGAATTGAAATCAGATATGAAAAGCCAAAGAGTTGTAAGATCTAAAGTTGCAAAAATAATCAAAATGACCTCGTACCTAAATTCCCAAACCTAACGGGAACGTCAAAGAAGGGACGACCAGACTCGTTCTTTGCCAGCCATCCTCCAGAGGCAAAGAACCACTTTTTCACCCATCCCTTGATGGAGGTCGGCCCTTTGACTATACCACCTGCGCCCTTCCTTGCGCACATGTAGTACCGACTTGGCTTCTTAGCTATTCTTTTGGCTTCGAAACACGTTAGAAGCTGGTCGACATCAAGCAGCTCGGCCCCGTCTTCTTCTCGAGCTCGTAACCAAAAAAGGATGACCAAAGCAAAAATGACACCCCATCCATTGGGGGCCACTTGAGCAGGGGCCAGGCCAGTTAGATTTAGAAACTCTTGGACAAGAGGGTGAAGGGGAAATCTCAGGCCGTACTAAAAAATTTTTAAGTAAAGAGTGACTCACCCCTCTAGAGGGTTGTCAGCTCTTTCCCCTTCCTCCGGAATCCTAAGGATGATATCATCCGGAATACTAAACCCCTTACGGAGGGGTCCGAGATAGTGCTCAGGCATTTTCGAAGGGTATTCCAAACCCTGACCCGAGATTGAAGTGTCACTATCCTCCCCGTCATCAGAAAACCTAAAATTTTCTATTTCTTCCAGCTCGGACTCTAACCTAAGAGCTAAGTCTTCCCCAGAGTCACTTGGCTTAGGGGGCGAACTGCTTAGAGTCCGACCTGCGCTACCTAGACTATCACTACTGGAGGGGGAAGACATGAAAACTACCATATCCGAAATAAAGATTAAAACAAGGAGAATGACTGACCTACGGAGGGTTTGAGCTGATTTCAGATCGAACTCCAAAAATTCAGGAAGCGTAAGGTTTGATCTGAAGTCTCGGAACTATTAATAGCTAACCGGAAAAGTCTCTACGCCGTACATGTGTAATGGACGAGCGGCTGGGATCATCTCGAAATTCGTAACGACGAAATACTCCAGTGCTCCGATAGCTTGACAGATCGAAACATCTTCCACCTCCACAACGATTATATTCTCTACGAATCAGAAGTCGCCACGTGTCCTAATTTGAACCAGGTAACTTCTCTGCCAGATCGAGATCGAACCTGACAGAGAGGGGGCCAATGTTTGGGGGTAAAAATATCATGTACACGTGGAAGACGCTCAGTGGTGTTTAGAAATAAAACGATATTCTAGGTCCACCTTGAACCTACCGAAGAGACCCAATTTATCCATATGCAAGGCTAAGTGTAAATGCCAGGGTTCGACCTGGACGAGTTCGATCTGCTCAAACCCGACAGGTTCGACATGAAAAAAAACAAAGGTAACCGCCAGTCGTGAGTACTGTCGGACCCACCACCTATAAATAGAGGGCCTCATTCCATGCTCAGGTATCGAATCTCACCTCGAACTTAATATTGAGTCCGACCTATACTGACTTGATTGTCGGAGAGTTTGCCCTCTTGTGCAGGTTCACTCCACGGTTCAAGTCAAGCCAAAGACCGAGTTCGAGCTAGGTTCGTGAACACCGTTGTGCAATTCTTTGCATAACAAAGTGATTGTAATAGAGTTTTAATAACTAGGCCTTAGTCTTTTGATAGATCCTTAATGGTTCTGCAAAACCCCAAGGAATGACAAATACTTCAGATCTAGATTTTAAATTTGTGTCTTTTGGATACATTTTTTTGATCTTCTGCTGGCTTGTATGAACAAAGCAATGACTATCCGGTTGACAAACGCGACTGGTCTTTTTGAGGATGTGAACAAGGTTTGTGCTAGGGAGAGAGTTTGAGAGTTAAAATCAGAATGGATATCTCCATTCCCATCCAACAAGGAATTTAGATAATATTGATGGTCCTGTAAAGGGATGATGGATCCCGATGAAGTATTAGAGACTTCCGGATTTCTGCTACTATTATGGTCTCATTGGTCATCTAGCAATTATGGAACTTGATGTTTGGCTTTGATATCAGGGTCCTCGTAAGGGTAACTTGATGCAGGACGACAAAGGCGTGGAGGTGCAGGATACTAGGGTTCAAGGGGCAGAGAAGTCTGTTGAGAAGGCATAGGCATCGAACAAAGGCTACCCACTTGAAACTCACAATCAGACGGCAAAGGAGACAACTAGGTTGGTCGGAGAATCAGTACCGGCGAATGAGAATGAGACCATTATGGAAAGCGACAAGGTGATCAATAGCATTAATGTGTTTCAAAAATTTCTCTATGATGCTCGGGGGGACTTAAAGCGAATAATTCAGTGAAGGAAAATTCGAGCACATCTATTATTGAAGATTCAGTGGCTATTGATTTACAGGAAATACCCACGGGAATTTTAAATTCTGAAGGGAGGAGGGATTTGGGCTATGTTTCTCTCAAGACTGACACTAGGCCAGTTCAAAGCCCAACAGACCAAATCTCCCTTCCAAAAGAAGATACTGGGCAAAAAGGCAGGGGCCCAAATCTATTAAGAGTTGGAAAAGGATGACCAAAGCAAATAAGGCTCCTTTTACTATCTCTCCAGGGACAATAAGTTTAGGCCATAAGCATGGAACTGAGCTATTCCTAGAAGGAGACACAAGCAAGAAGGGGAAGTTAGATGAAAAATGTGCTGGTGTTGATGGGGTAGTTGTTTTTCAATCAGCAGAGGCAGCGAGGCAGCCCTGCTGAACGCCATGAAACTTCTTTTTTTGAATGTCCGAGGGTTGGGGAACTCGAGGACATTGAGAGATGTAACTGACACTTTGGGTCACATTAATCCCCATATCGTTTTTCTTTATGAAACTAAATGTAACTATTTTGTGCTGAATAATATGAAGTCTTGTATGCATTACGCGGGTTGTTTCGTGGCGGATAGTTGTGGCAGGAGTGGCTGTTTGTGTTTAATGTGGAAGTAAGACGTGGATGTTACTATTCAGTCCTATTCCCAGTTTCATATTGATGCTACAATTTGTTGGCTTAATAAATCCTTCAGGTTCTCGAGTATTTATGGGGACCCTAAGTCCCATAAACGACATCACGCTAGGGACCTTATTTGTCGCCTATATAACTGGGGCAATTAAGCCTAGCTCGTAGGGGGTGATTTTAATGAGATTCTATGGGATAATGAGAAGATTATAGGCTCTTTCAAACAACCAAGTGCAATGGACCGATTTAGAAGTGTTGCCGATGACTGTGTCTCAAAGATTTT